TAAAGCACGTTGCGTTAGGAAGACACGCAGGTCATGTTGAGGGTTTTACTTACGAGAACATGAAGGAATCTTCAATTTCAGCACTCGGGTTTTCTCCATTCAAGTAGCAAGCTCCATGTATGCTGCAGGCCACGACGGAATAAGCTACCGAGTGACCGCCTCTGGTGTAAACCCTTTCAAACCAGCCCCAACTCCCCCTTTTGAATTAGTTCGCGCTCGAAGTACGCTCGGGGTTTGGACGGATAGCGCTGAAGACTAGAAATGCCTTTTGCGGAAGCGCCGCGGAAGCACCTGAGACGAAAACGTCTGCGGAAGAGCCCGCAGAAGCACGGCGTCGGAAAATCTGCCAGTAGTCTTCGCGAAGGTTTCGCGGAAGGTCCGCGGAAGCTTTATTTTTTCAATTAGATTTATACACCCATTTTTTTAACTGCTCTCTTGTCAGCTTAGCTGTACCAATGCCAAGCCTCTGCCTTCGAGCAGCAGCCTAAAGAAAATCTTGCGTCGAAATCTGTGAGTACCCTCGGAGGTGCAGGGCCCCGAGGATGAAGCAATGATCGACATCCCGATTCCCGAATGCCTGCTGGCTTACTTGAGCCGTAGTCTTATCTCCTTAACAGGGAATATATACGGGATTATACGGAGTATTGAGGGGGATACCACTTGTGGGAGTTCGACTAATATATAGCTTACTTGGCCAATTGTTGGAAACATTGAATGATTGTCATTATGGAAAGTGGCTAGGACGGTAGATATGGTTCCCTTGGGCGTACCTCGCAGGAATCCAAGGCTGTTTCTTCTGTTCATTCACACGCTCCGGGTGTGGCAATGCATGAGCAACAACACCATAGCTGGATCAGTCATTGGCGAGAACAGAGCGGCATGAGTTTTCTGTGGAGAGTCTAGAGTTCAGCATCAGAATTCTTAAGCTCTAAATAGTAGTTTCCACTATCCCGATATAATCCCTACGTTATGCCAATAAGAATCGGATAGAACGAATCATCAGCCTTGGCACTAAGGCCTGTCTGCAGGCCCAGCTGGGCAGACGCTACGGTTGCCGCAGACGCTTCACGACCGATTGTGCCCCTACCAGCGGGAAGGCAGCTTCGGTGGGATTACTTAGCAAATGAGCTATGATCCGAACTCCTTAAAGGGGGGTATATGGTATATAGGGGATTAAATTTATCTTATTGTTGGTCTTCCCATGCTACTAGACGGCGTGCTTCTGTACAAGAGAGTGACCTCCACAATCTCCGCCTGATAGACAACTTTTTAGGCTGCTTTAGCTACTCTACTTGGATTCCAGCGAAGCCTGCATAACGCTAGCTGGCGGAAAACCATGGCCAATATCTTTCCCTGAAGCTATGGTCCTCAGAGGAAAGGTCATTTATCACGGCAAATTACTGGAATGCTGTTCAACACTGATAGACCCGAGCCCGCAGCTTCGTTTGGGAAAGAAACTTAAGGTTTTGGAACAGGCTCAAATCGAAACTAGTGGCGTTGGTATAATATAGCAGCAGTAGAGGAAAAAGTTGTGGTTAGTAGTAGAAGAGCTGGAGTAGCAGTAGGAGAGGCAGGTAGCAGTAGCGGTACGCTGGTAGTAATGGTGGAGGTTGTAATGCGTTAGTTGTAGCAGTTGAGGAAGATCACGAAGCTGTAGCTTCTGCAGGCCCTCTCCACTTTGATCACACCTGGTGCTTTGTGATGACTGCAATGGTGCATAGTCGGTCCAGGCTACTCCGAGCGTAGTGCCAGGCTGTCCTTGAAACCGGTCCAGCAAGGTACCATCCATAGCTCGACTGAGCAGTGTGTGATTCCTTTCAATCAAGACGTGTCCTGTGGGACGGTGGTTTAATTTTGTGCCGACAATTCTAGAACAAGACATGTTTGCAAGCCGATTCTGGACGAGCACCACCACTAAAGCTGCTTGATGCATTTGCTGAATGGAAAGCTGTTGCAGGTGTGGCCTGGATGTGGCATTTGCATGGTCGCAGGCACGGGGGCAGCCCGGCTGCAAGCTGTTGAGGCAATGCGGCCAACGCTTGGATGCAAGAAGGTGCCACATTACAGTTGGAAGGCCTGGAAGGATTCAGTTTCAAAAAGTGTTGCGCCCAAACTGAGTTGTATGGCATACCTTGTGAAACGAACCCAATGCATGCGAGGCATTTCGGGTAGGCTTTATCCTACTTAATAGTTGCATCCTACATTTGCAGCTACGGTGACTGCTAGCTTCAGCACAGGCAGTAAGCAAGGCGTAACACAAAAACAAGCTGAGCAGAACTTCCTAGGCGTGCTAGCGGATGAGATGGGCTTGGGCAAAACAGTGCAGGCCCTGCAGTCTGTTTCATCCAGGCCAAAGTTTAAATAACATAAGGGTAGTCCCCAAAATTAAATATCAGGTGCTGGCATATACTATATAACCAAAAGGGACACATGATTTTGGGAGCAGCCCATAAGATTTCTGCAGTTGTTAGTTGGCTTCAGTTTTCATGTCAGTTTTGGGCTTGGCCTAATGTCTGAGGTAGTTACTCAAGCCGGATACACATCTGTAGGGTAACAACAAGACAACGCGTTACAGGGCCAGAAATCCCCCCAAGACCCTCCCTGGGCACGTAAATAGGGAGGGGGGGTAGACGGTCCCCAAAATTAAGGGCATATAGAGGGTAGATTGAGGGCCTAGGTATACATCCCGAAGCAATTACATTCAAAAGCCTGGACCTCTGAACCTCCAACCGAAAAAAGCTTTCTGTACGAAGATTCATGGGGCCCGTTTAGAGCTCTGATCCCCAAAGCCCTAATGCCGAAATCCGAATCTCTAAACTTCAACTTCGGGAGGCCTGTGGCTTGATCCAGGCCCTGCGTGCAAAAGAGGTGGGCTGCCCGTAGAACCAAAGTGGGCCATAAAGTTACAGGTTTTAGGATTCATGGGTTCTTGGCCTAACTTGAGCGGAGCTCGGTGAGGCCTTCCAGGCGAGGATCTCTGCAAGCCTGCTGCAAAAGGATTCATGTGGTGAGTAAGACTTGAGCGGCGAACGTAAGAACAGGATCTAGAGGTATGTTGTATGCAAATGGCTCAGGCCCGAAAGAAAGATGGGGAAGATTTGACAGGGCAGGGGTGCTGCTTGAGGCAGGTGAGTAGACGATTGGCATTGACTGGCCCGGAAGCCCATGGAATATGCAGGGATTAGCTAGAAGGTGTAGCGGTGGAAATAGCACCTGCAGCAGCAGTGGCAGTTGCAGTGGCTATCATAGATAGAGACAGGGGTACATGGTGGTACAGCAGCAGAACAAGCAGCCTCCTCTTTGGAATGCGATGGCAAGATTGCTGAGTCGAAGCAGAAGATTTTTTCCCTGTCAAGTATGTGCAAAGTCGAGTCGTTTTCCAAAGGTCTTGGATGGATTTAGTCAGGCAATGTGAAGTTCAGCATTGTTGGTTTATGGCCACCAGACGAGGTGAGATGGGCTTCGCGAAGTAGCATGGTCCGCGCCCCCAGATTGCAAAGTAATGAATAAATGTATAACTGTCAGATCACTGTGGGAGGCCACCCATGTGCTGGTGGTCATGCCGGTCACCCTTTTAGTTCCTCAGCTCCATTGGAGTCAACCAGTAGCAAGCGCTCTTATCCTGGAGTTCTGACTTGCTGACGTCAGTTGTTACATCCTCAGCATGTAGGGTAGTGGACAGCCTTCGCTTGACAGGGCTCCTGACCATGAGGAATCCCACAGATCTGCTGCATTCAGGATCAATGGGCGCAGGAACTGAAGAAGTGGTGCCCTGGCTGTCCGGCCGGGGGCTTTGCTTCTGCAGCGTGTCAGCTGTCACTTCACGCAATAGACTTGAGAATCATGCGTTCTTGCCACCAATGACGATGAGAGCCGCTGTATTGTGTTCAGCTTTGGAAAGGGTACATCAGACAAAGCTTTGGGACGTTAGGAGCCTCGGACTGAAGCCTTCACAAGGATTCAGGTATCATAGATTGTCGCCATGGACTCCATCCAGCGCTAGAGGCTGGATTCTCGCAGCAAGGAGCTACTTTCTCTGAGCGTTGCAACAGTCTAGCGCTGTTCAGAGAACGGTGAGTTCCATGCCTTTGAAGCCGACTAGCCCGCGATAAGGTCTTCATCTATCACGGCTCGCCTACCCATCGAGCGCGAGCACTTCGAGCAGTGTCGCGTGCGCGGGGCGGCGTGCTGCTTACCTCCTACGCCATCATCAAGCCGCTTTGACGCAAAGAGCTCCAGCTCTCTGCAGATAAGATCAGTTCGCGAAGAGCGTCTATCGTATAACTTCAAACAGCCTTTGTAACACAGATCCCGTACTTACTTGTCACCTGGAAGGAATGAAGACGAAAAGCTGGCCATGGTGGACCTGGCAGAGGCTTGCTTGCCGCTGGTTTGGTGCCCGCTTGACTGTTTGGGCTTCGACAAGAAATTAGTACAGCCATTGGACGGCTCTTAGCTTGAATAGTCCAGCCCAACTTGGCTTAACAATGCTTGGGTGGCCGGTCAACACAATGCTCGCAGCAGCGGTGCACAACACGTGCCTCCATGATGACCATACCAGCAGGGTATGGTTTCAAAGCACCGCGTGTAGCCTGGGGCTTGGTGGGCGCTTAAAGCCCCACAGGTTTGAAGCAAAGACCGCAGAAGTCACAGATGCGGGTATACAAGCACTCCTTTGACAAAAACGGACAGGTAGGGTTGTTCAGACAAGCTCCGGGCATGCCTGTTTTGCAACTTCAGTCCTTTTACTAGCGTACAGCCTTCAGCCGTGCCCTGTAGTCTGCGTTGCCTTCAGGATGCTGACGGCACCTGGCTGCGAAAGTCAGATCGACAGCCTTCGACGGGGACCATTTGTTTCGCAAAGTTTTCCCACACAGCCTGACTGCAGGGGTTCTTGATTTGTTGAAGGAATCAAGGATTTTCTGTTAGCCGGAGGTGTGGACCCCCAATCCATCTTTGCAATATCTCTTGTTGGCCGGTAGCCTCTTTCCTGGAGCCCTAGTCTATTTCTGCGTCCTCTCCGGGTTTTTCCCCCTCTTACTGGTTGGGGCCGTTGCTGGTGTCATAGACTTACACTGCATCATTCCGATTTGCGGATCTGCCGTTCGCAACTTCATCCAGGATGGCACAGAGTAGGAGGAATGCCATGCCTTGCAGCCGGAGTTGGGCTCTGACGCAGGGAGCCCATGTGTTACATCCAGTGGCGTGCGCAGATTTGACCAATCCGGGTCTCTCACATGGGGAATCCGGACACCCAAACGTCAAAAGGGCTGGTCGGTTGGGCCTAGAAATGCGGAGTTTCCACCGTTTGATGCATGAGTGAGTCTTGGCACCTGCCATGCTTGAACTTAAGAGCTTCAAGTTTGACAGCTCAAGTAGGAAGTAGGTTGAAAAGGTTCTGTCCCGGATTTGAGCTCTGCAGCAGGGTGTTGCGAGCCCTGAATCCTGCAACCCTCCGCGGCAGTTATTTGCAGCGAAAAGTACATCATCTCCGCCACGAGGAAACGGCAACGAGGAGGTTTGCGTGGCGCAGCTTGGATGAAGCCCTGGGACCTTGCACCCTGGCACACAGAGACTGGCCCACCTAGATCCGGGTGATGGCCCTCATAGGCTGAGAAACCCTAATGACTTCGTGTGTTCTCAAAAAGTGCTTCAACAAGTGCGTAGCTCACGGTGAGAGATACACTGCCTACTGTGTATTCTTGTAACCGGACCTGACTAGAGGGTGCTGCGGCGCAATCACACCGTCCTGGCATCCAAGCAAAGCGCGGAGGGTGGTGATATACACCCTAGGTCCCATGAGCAGAATGGTTTGTGTGAAGCATGGAATGCAGAAAGGATCACGGGTGTTGCCTCAGACTGCTTGTGAAATTTGAGAGATCCGAAGAATTGATGTACTTTGGACAGTCCTTGCATATACACACTTTCAAACCAGTTCGCACGGAAGCTAATGCTCATAGCCTGAGGCCTCAGATCTTCAACTTTTTTCAAAGCCATGAGAACTCATTGCAACTGCTGCCCTGATGCAGAAGTCTGCATGGTGGCCTCAAGAGCCGAGGTGATTTGTGATGAAGCGCACGTTATGCGCACGATTTCGACACTGCTTGGCAAAGCCGTCCGGCGGCTGAAGGCAGACTGCCGTGTCCTCTTGACCGGCACCCCTGCTCCCTGGCTGCTACATCATGCAGTTCCCATCTTTTCGCGCAGCAGTGCAACAACGGTAGAAATGGGTAGGTACTGAATGCTTATGGCAAGTTTGCACGTGGGTCCCAATTCTCTTTGTCGCTTCAGTTGCTTTGGAGTGAATATGGGCGGCGACGTACAGTCACCAATATGTTCCCTCATAGGAACCCGAACCAATGTCCATAAATCACATGGTCAATGTTGACTGCAGCTTATATATGGATGCCGTCCTAAACCCCCGCCTCTTGTAGCAAGACTAAAAGGCGGCAGTAGGCTTTTGCAAGGGGCTGCAAAACCATGCGCGTGCAAGCTCACGCAAGAGCAGAGGGTCCCTAATCCATGTTGATTATGTCTATTTGTTGAAATTTGTTTAAGTGCCCACGTGCGCAAGATGGCCCAAGGGTGGGCACAAGGCAACCCTATATAACTCGGGCATTGATACTGGAATTTATTGCACAGCACCCATATGACGCCAGGATGTTGGCATTCTGAAGTGCGCATTGCTTGCTAAGCTGCGGCCAGGGTGCCTGCTATGGAGTTTACGAGCATAAGGCACACATGGGTACAAACTGCATCAAGGTTCAAAACGCCTTGCAAGATCTCTGGGCTCTGATGGACTTCGCCCAGCCCGGGCTCTTGGGCAACCATGCCACCTTCACCAAGCGCTTCAATGACCCAATTGAGCTCTTTGGAGCGCATTTACTTCGTTGAGCGTTCACAAGAAGACTATGTAGGAAGGGATTAAGGCTTGGAGTTTATGAAGGCAGCATTATTGACTCATTTACTAGGTCCCCCAAACCTTAAACCCTAAATAGTAGTTTCCAGTTGTCTTTTCCATTATCCCTATATAGCAATTCATGAAGGAGGGCTCCAGTACATCTCAGAGTTAAGGTCGCGGTCCTTGGTAATTAGGCTCATGTAATTGATGTACCAAAGAACGATTGTGCGTAGTCTTGGGGTGTATATGGAGGACCCCTTCCATCAGCCAGGAGAGATTGAATGTGGTTGAGTTTGGCAATAGAATTGCAATAGATCATTCGAAATATTTGTACTTCGGGCTGTCTTTCTCAGAAGTTCCATCGGAAAATGCAGTGGATCAACTTAAAGTCGATTTTTGTGAGGCTGTGAGGGCCTTTGAAAGGCGCACATCCTTTTTCTCGCAAACTGAAAGACTATGTCACTCAACCTTCAAACTACAGCCAGGCTCCACTTGCAATCTTCCCTATTCAGCAATGCCTCACGCACTCAGACCAGGGGTCACTGACTTCAACTTCAACAATTCCTAAGCGCCAAATCCAATTTCTTCCTTTTACATTTTGACTGCGACGTCGTTACGTCGTCCCGGCACGATATGCCTGTGTTTGCTCGGTACCTGAGCCCCATTCTCAACGCCACTGTTCTTAGTGTCCGCCGTCCACCTTCTCATGGCCAGGAGCGACGCTCGCCAAATTACGAGCATAGCCTTGAAGCACACGCATAATATTGAGTGTGGTAAACATAAACAGGACAAAAACACGCCAGTCATCACCAGGCTATGACCTACATTCCCCCCATAGTCACAGGTATAGATACCACACTTGTTCAATACGCCTACTCAGTTTACAAAATATTTGAATTCCCAGAAAAGAGCCAAGGAAGGGCAGCGTGCGGGATGCTTCGCCCTCTGCGGTAGCGCTGAAGATACCCAGCCTGAGATTCGGAAACGGAATTGTTTTTTTCAGTTTGTACTGCGCTGCACGACGCTCACAGGAAACGAGTCGCCGAGAGAGTGAGCGGGAGTTTATAGGCGTTTATATTGGATTTATGGGGGTAGCCAGTTGCAGTCGAGAATCAAATGAGAAGTATCATGGAAATTGTCATGGAAGCTGGGTGATTGATAGGGATGTGGTTTCTGTCAAGAAGGAGTGTATGGAAAGGGTTGGAAGTAATCAGAACCAGCTGCCCGTAACAGCGATTTGAGACGGGAACCCAGCCCGGACTTGTGACCAGAACCGGCCCGCTCCGGACATACCAGCTGGCCCGGCTATAATGAGAATTGTCGGGGGGATGAGTAGGCGGGCTGAACCTCCAAGCATGCTTCCAGACAGCTTTGGACGCTTCCGCTGAAAGCTTTTCAAAGGCACTGGATTCCAGTCCGTCAGCTGGACGCATCCGGTTATAGCTATTGCAGAGACTTCCAGATTCCTTTAGCTCATTCTGTGCCAAGGGACACTGTGCCCCTCGCAGACTTCCAAGCAGTGTGCCTTTTGACACACTCGTGTTCGATCCCTTGCTAAGTCCGCAGGCTAGTGCCTCATTCGACCACAGAAGATCCTTTTGGTCCCCCACGTTGCGAGGTTCCTCAAATATAAGGGGTAATATTAAGGTTATATATGGGTAATATTAGGCTTATATTGGGGTTGCAGTGCCGTGTCTTTTGTCCTGCTTGCGGTTTCGGCTCGCTCCTGCAGTACTTCCGCTTGCGGCATTGCCGTTACTGTTGCAGACTGTTACAGTTACAGGCTTGGAAACGTTGTTTCCATTACTCCCAAATTGGCTCCCATTACTTCCCGCACCAAGTGTATGGGGATTGCTTAACAAGGACCCTGGCACCATGGTGATTTTACAGTGATGTTGCTTCAAGGTGTTTTCCAGGTTCGCGCAGGAGGGATCACTAAATTTAGATTGTGGCCATTTTGGCGACACGATCTTTTGCTCTTTGCCATGTATTAATTTGCAGCATGGCCACACGTTGTGTGAATCCTGGCTTCTATAATGATGTCATTCTCCGTGTACTTTCAGTTCTCATTCTCCATTACAGCGCCAGCTACCCCTAAATATCCTCATGTACCCTATATATACCCAAAAGCATGGCGCGCTACGCTTGGGTCTTGGATCATGCTCAGGAAGCATCTCTGTGAACAGCTCTGGGAGCTCGTGAGGCCGAGGGTCTGAAGTCTAAAACTGCCAAAGGAGCTAGAATTTGTGGTTGGAGGCTTGGGGTTTGGTGGGGATCCCAAGAGCCAAGTGTGGAGAAAGAGTGACCCAGATGGGAAAGCAGGGAGATAGAACACCGGCAGACGGGCCCTTTCAACTGAGCCTGAGGCCATGTTGATGGCACTGATGACACTATAGTGCTTGCCAGCATTGCAAAGATCTCAAACATGGAGCATGGAAAAGTACTCTGTATTGACTCCCGCTCCAGTCTCATCCATCAGGCCACATCTTCTGCGACGAACAAAGGATCGCGTTGGCCTGATGGACAATGGCGCCCCGCACAGAACTTTGATGCAGCTGGAAACAGTTTTTCTTGCGCCTGACCGTCAAAATCTGACACGACAGGTTTGAGTCCGGCTGGAGGGTTTTCTGGTTTCCGTAGAAGCCATGGATCTGGCTCTGCGCATATCCTGTCATGAAAGCAACTGAGGCGCACGTGATGTGCAGGGCAGCACAGAAGCCATGGCATCTGCACTGACGAAGCCTTTGCCAGCGCGGACAGAGCTGCACGACACAAATTCCTTGATAGAAACCAAGAACCAGTTGCAGACGAATTTGTAGCATAGCAACATTGATGTAGTACCCGTATACAGTATAGTAGTATACACACGGTTAGTGCTATGCAATATTAGGCACTGATGCTGCAGAACCATGCTAGGGATACCTGTGTTGTGCCCAGAAAGCAGACGCAGACAGCTTCGAGCAGCTGAGGTTCGTTGTATGGTTGGTGCCCACCAAGGACCAGGTTCGCATTTATCAGAAGGCCCTTGAGACAAGTGAAATCATCCACGAAGCAAACAGCACCTGGCTCTGAATTTGCTGTTTGGCAGTCTATATGCGGCAGCCTTCAAGTGTGCAAAAGCCTGCAACCCTGCATTAGCTCCCTGAATCCCTAAGTAGATTATATACCATGTTCTACAAAGATCCTTTGCATCAGGAGGACGAGAGGTAGCAGTATGCCTTGGAGGATTCCTGGAATTGCTTACCATGTTTCAGACTTTATTTCCACGATTCACATGTTTGTTATTTGTGCCTCTGCTATCCAGTAGGCAACCTAGGCAAAAGCAAGCTGGGAGTCGAAGTCTTCCGAGCCATCGGCCTTTTGATCCTGGGCAGCGCTCTGAAGCCCGAAATTAGATACCTCCCCCTTGTCAGCATTCGTACAAAGCTTTGCAGGTGTTGTACAGGACCTAGTCTGGATTGCATAGGTGGTAGCGAGGCTAAAAAAGGCATGAGCTGTCCTGCCAAGTACCAAGTGCCAAGTGCCAAAGGTAGCCAAACATGGCCCAGACTTTCAAAGAGTATCTTGTGCAAACTGCTGTCTCCCTGATCATCGCCCCTGTTCTTGCCGATTCGATGGCAGCAAAGAAGACAAGCAAGCCTGTGAATAGCCTTGGGACCAATTAGTTTGGACCGCCGGAGCACATGGGCATGTCAAGTTTCAGCCCTTGGCTGCCTTTTGTGAGATCGAGGCGGAGGAACTGGCTACCGAACACATTGCTTTCGCCTCGCCCTTTGGGCTGTTCCCTAGAGCCCCGAACATATATATTTATATATATATATGTATGTATATATATATAATATGTATAGTATAAATAGGAGCGCAGCCGCAAGGCTACAAGCTGCACTCCGAACAAGAAGAGCCCCGAATATGTCAATCCAGGAAGCGGCTATGCAACCATCCCAGCCTGGCACTGCCCTCGCATGACGCCTGGCATCGAGCTGTGGCCACTGCAGGGGAGGCCAGGAGGATTGGGAAGATGCAGGCTGCAGATAAATGGGGGTTTCCCAAAATTAGGGGTACCCTTTTGGGAGTCCACACAGTAAGGACTACAATATGTGGGGTCCCCCTATTTGGAGAAATTACCACATAATCCTCCGGAGCTTTTCATCCCAAAGTTGCGAGTGCTTCGAGATGATGATGGTTTCGCGTCAATATGTTGGCACTTTGGCTAGTCAGCTGGACAGATGTGCTGCGTCATCACCGGCACAGACCATGATCGGTTGTAGCTGTGGCCATGTAATTTTCCTATTGTCCTGTTTGAGTCTCCATTCTTGAGATAATATCCCTAAACCCTCAACCTGTTATTTGCAACTTCGATTTGGGATTCCAGAGGGAACGTTTTGCGAAACATCCGCATGAGTTCGCTGTCAAAGTGATCAGGGCCTCATTGGACCGTCGGACTTGGCACGGATGGTGTTGCGGCTGCATCGCTTGGCTTGAGGTTTAGCGGCCTATAGGTCTTGCGAACCTCCTTCCCTAAATCCCTAAATCCCTAAACCCTAAATCCTAAACCCTATACATGCTCCTTTGGGATCCTTTGTGAGTAGGACAGCCCATCAGCTCGCGGATTCAAAGGCAGCTGGATTGTCACTGTAACCTCATGCTGCGTAAGTGTCGCATTCCATTTTCTCCGAAGGTGGCTTGGCCCGAACCCTATTCCTGTGCCCGTGAATGAAGGACTCAGTGCATGTAAAGACGGGCAGAAATTGCAAAAAGTGTCGGTGAGCGGTCTTTTCAGCTTGCGCAGCTTAGACATGAGGATTCCTGCAGGGGCTGTTGCATCGTGCATCACAAGTCTCTGCCCGCTTCTGCAAATTTGTACTCAGACATCTTTTTGTTTCGTGCCTGACTTGCCAACAAGCCAAGGCACGACCAGGCAAGCGTGGAAAGGTGCGCTTGCATGCCAGGGTGTGTCCAATGCTGATGTCAGGCCATTCAAAAGAACTCAGATTGTTCATGCCTAGATTTGCCATGCTCATCCCAAAAGAGACACTTGTTCCTGTGCCAGGACATGAGGACTCGACATGTTGACAGTGATGTATCTCCCCCTTCTCAGGGCGCAGTCGAGCCGGAGCCCGTCCAAGCAGAACCCGGGGAAGAGGATGGCGATGTGCCGCAGGACACCACCTCCCTCTTAACGAGCATGGTTTGCGACAGGCATTTGTCCAACGATCAACGTGCGAGGTTATGCGGACAATGTCCTTGTTTCGTTGCGCGTCCTCTAGGCCAAAGCTTTAGTACTTCAGTAACTTTAGTAGCATTCGGTCCAAAATGGTCCCACTGTCATCCTGAAGGCTTGTTGTCGCACCTGGGAACAAGACGACGAACGTCGGTCTTAGCCCATGGGGTTTCCTCATGCAGAGGTACATGGCTTGGTTTCAGAGGGCCTCGGAATCTGGGAAGCGCATGCGAAGACGACAGTTAGTGGAGGGACCGGCTTGCGATGTGCAATGCACTGAGGATTGGGATGAGAGTCTGGAATCCACTGGGTACGAGTAGTCCCGGAATGCTATGCTGTGCTCCTAAGAGAGCAATAGGTAGCTGACCCATGCATGGTCAAACACTTCGACATCCTACATCCTCGAGCCCATAATGGAACAGCACTCATCAAATGTGTGCAGAAGAAGAGAGATGAGAGATCATCTGCTCGAGGTGACAGATCTGGCGTTATCCTCATCATGAGGTTATCTCGCAGTACAGCCATGATTTGTTCCTTGCACATGCGGGACTTCCAGGATTATCCTTATACCCCTCAATACGAGCCTTTACTATCATCCCAATATTGTCCCAATAATATATCCCTGAGGTGCCTAGACACCACTGTTTGGAGAGCGCTCCCCAGAACATGTTGTCTTAAGCATGTTTCTTGAGGACGCAGAGCCTGGAAAGGCGGTGGAGCGTATGCTCAGGACAACATGGTTTGGGGTTTAGCATTTGGTAGTTTCCCTAAACAGGGGGACCCCAACATATGTTTATGAATATCCTTATTGTTGGGACCCCCAAATTGGTACCCCCAATTTGGGAAACACCCATTTTCGATGGTATACGTTTTGGGAGTTGCGTGGGCGGGTTCTCCTGGGTGTGGTTCAGTTTGAGATGACTTTGGTTTCCTGATGTCCCCCAGTCCACTGGTCCAAAGCTGATTTCGTCCTGTGTGGTACCTTACCTCATCCCCGATTCCCAACCTCTCCTTTTTAATTATTGCAAGCCAATGCAAAGCAAGATGCCAAGTAACTCCTGCAAGTACCTCGATTCGGCAATTCCGGACTGGCACTGAATCTTCAGATGGGCTTGTAGTATAGGAATCGGCGCCGCCACCAAACCTTCCCGCTGTGTGACAGACAGCATGCAAACAAATAGCAAAGCACGCCAGTACTCGGCAAAAACTCGCACGCAGCGTGTAAATCTGGGGATGGTTTAACTTCAACGGTTTGCAAGTGGGGATATTGAATGCCACCACCAACCTCCATGTTACTTGAAGGCAAACCAATGCCCGACAACTAGCTGGTACCAGCACAATTTTTCATGTCCAGACTTGCATCTTGTGAGTTTGATGGCTTAATGTTCGTCAAGGTCTTCCAAAGGGGAAGCCTTGCCCAGCACCTGTCTCATTCAAAAACCACCATAGGATCCAATCATGGTGTCTCCGAAGCAGGAACCTCAAAGGGGATGTGAACGCGATGGTCACGCAGAGTGCCAAGCTGAAGTGCCTCGCTTCTCTGCTCCTCGCAGCTGTTCAAAGTGTGGTAAGGCTTAAATGAACGGATCTCCCCAAGAGTTGCCGTTCAGATGGTCTTTGGAGGGGCAAGGCAAAACAGGAGCTCAAGGGGACAGTGCACTCCTTGGGAGCTCTTCTACAGGATGTAGAACACATCCTCCTTTCATAGATGTTGAGCTTCCGCTTCCTTTGACCCAGCGCCGGCATTGAACAAGCGCGACCCTGAGCTACTCAAGTGCAGCAACCGGTCGTCCTTCAGAAAATCTTTAGGATGCCCAAAAAGTATAGGAAATCCCAAAACATAACAAAACATTCCATGTAACGGATGAACTTTACCCGCCGCAAAGCTACGCATTGATCTAGGATCTGCTCCGTTGAGCGGGTCAAGCTTACAAGCTCGGAGATTGAAACTAAGATTCGGAGGTTTGTGCTTGGAGTCCCGACGCCTTGCAGAATCAGGTTGCCGGCATTGGAGTCCCGTGGGCATCGGACGCTGATCTTCTCGCAGGGCATTCGCATGATGGATTTGGTGTCTCGGCACCCAGACGGCTCTTGAGCCGAGATTTGGGCTTAATGGTAATGAGATTCGGGCCTAGTAGTAAGAGTAACAGTAATGAAAGTAATTAATAGTAATGACAGCAATGATCATAAGAGTAAGAATAATCATAAAAGTAAGATTAGCGGAAGCTTTAGTAAGGCAGAGCTTCATGTTTTGTGTGCATTTTCTGAAGATGATTTCAAGGCTACTTCCTGGAAGGTGCCTTAAAATAGGAGGGACTATAGGGTTTAGAGATTAGGGGGATAGGGGGCTGCCTTGAAATAGGGGGATAAGGGGGAGGGGCCTTAAAATGGGGGGAGGGGCCATGTTGCTTCCAGCACTCAACTGGCTGTTCTGATGTGATTACATTGCTCCCCTAGAAATGGTCTGCAGGACCTAGACCCTAAAACTACATATATCCCCAATTACAGAAGGGACTGCCATGGGGCCTGGGTTTTTGAGGCCGCTCTCCAGAAGGGACTGCCATGGGGCCTGGGTTTTTGCATGCCCACTATTTTCCTTACTAAATAGGATACCAATAAAAATAAACGTCAGCTCTTACGAACGGAACAGAAGTCTCTTCACAACAATGAAGATTAAAGAGATTCACAGTTGACTTGAGAGAGGTCGAAGCTCCAGTTCC